ATGCAAAGCGGAGATACAGAAAACATATTTTTCTCTTTCTTTCACTCCCTACCCGTCCCCTCTTTTCATCCTTCATCTCTGATTTTCCCACTGTTCTGATGGCTGTAGTTTTTAATATCATCTACTTTGATAACAACACTGAAGATGATATAGTTCCTGACATGTGCATCTGTATGTTATATAACAGCATTTAATTGGTTTTATTTCATGAGTCATAAATATCCCACACAGTAGAGGAATTACATCCAACAATTTAACTACAATGACCTTTAAAGACGCAGCAGTTTTGTCACAACACAATTACACTGAACCTTTGACAAGTTAACTCTTTCATACTTATTTGTCTTTCCACTTCCGGAACACTTCAAGTTTTTGTTTTCCGGCTGCTGGCTCATCTTTCCTTTAAAGAGATGAGAGAGGTAGATCTTCTCATCTTTATGCAAGAAAGTGAAAAAGCACATTCCCCAAAATGTCGAACTATTCCTTTAACCACTCTAGTGTGATCAAATGTGCAACCATTGTCCTGATGTAATCTAAATACATTTCTCAGAAAACAACATTATTTGGAGAGCTTCTTAATGACGAATAGGTTACAGTGCTCCAATGTGAACTAGATGCTGCACAGGAAAGAGTGGTACCCAGTGGATGACTTAATAACCCATCTAATGTAGGCCCCTACTGTACAGCAGTTGTCCTATAGCTGAGTGTTCAAAGGGTTTCACAGACAGATATAAAACCGTGTTGGCTTTATGCATCATGAGGAGATAAGATGAGAACTATAAACAGTAGCAACAAGACTAAGAGTCTGCAGCCACTTTATTTCTGTGAGGACACACTTATGCATAATTGTTCTTTGACCTAAATGCAAACATTATCATGCTACAATGCTCTCAATGACAATGATGGTGAAGCAGCTATACCATACTCCCTATCTTAATTTAGCATACTGGCATGCTAACATATGTTTTACACGAGTATAAAACCGTATAAAATGGCAAGTCGATCACGCTCACAGACATGCGATGAGAGCAGGGTAAAGCAAGAAGTTCACAACATTACAAAGTCATAAATCCAGTGCTGAGCAAACAAAACAGAATTTAGCTGTGCATAGGGAGCTTTCATTGTGTCTTTCACCTCCGCTCAATGTAATGCTTAAATTATACGATCGCGTTGGAGGATCTGCCATAGATCATCATCACAGAGACATGAGGACGTTAGAGTGATATCTTAGTCCCATGCTGGAGTCTGGACATCACATGACACTGAAATCCCATTCTGATGATATATCTCTCCATCCTAATCCATCTTTTCCACCCCCCAAACCCCTCTCACTCTGTCTGCCCCTCTGTAAAATTTGCAAAAGCTTTTTTGACAGCATGCTATTATGAACACTTAATGTTCTTCAAGGTCAGGAGTGATTTACAGTAATTGATTTTGAGACACTACTTCTGCTGCAAGGGACCTACATCAAAACACAACAACAACAAGACAAGCATAAAATGTAACTTTCAAATCTTCTGCATAAAAAAAAAAAAAAACACAAAGAAACTGCTCTTGCAAAAACTATTTTTTGTTTAAACTGTTAGATCTTATGAACACTATTAGCTTAGGATAATAAACAGCTGTTTAGCAAATCTCGAGTCAGTGTGACGAGTCTCTCAGTCAACAAGAATGAGTGACTCAGTCTTTCAGAGACGAGACTCTGAGCATGTTACCTCCTACACAATAAAGTTTCCAGGGTGAAAAGAAACAGAGAAAGTGAGGCATGAAATAGGACAACAGCTACTGCTTTGTCACCTTTGGCCTCCAGTCTTTGGATCTCTGTGGAGATGAGTTGCACATGAACATCAACAAAAAAAAAAATATATATATATATATCTAGTGTCCTCTTTAATTTCCATGTATCTTATCTTTTTATTTATTGTATAGTGACTTATCTTCCCCATGAGCTAAATACTAACTCTGAAGTTATAATTGGTTTTACGTATCACATATGGTAAACCGCTTCTCTGACGTCATACAGGCTTCAAAAATTGTGTGTGAGCTTACATATTGTGTTTTAAAATATCTGATACGGACATCTTGTACTGTTGTGTTGGCATTCTTCCAAGGTTTTCTGCTGTCCCCTACAGAGAGGTAACACAAGATTTTACTTTAAATGCCTTCTGTGTGTTGCCTTCTGCACAATAAGGTAACCAAGACAGAGAAAATGGCAGTAGAGAGGAATGAAACAGGACAACAAATGTCATTTGGTCACCTTAGCGCAGGCCCTTGGCGCTCTGAAGTGATGAGGTATGTTTTCACACATCAGAACCAAGGGCACCTGCCTGAAAGGGAATAAAAAGGCCTGTATATATATTATTTTTCACTGCTAAAGGAGGGGTGCACAGAGAGGCAGCAGTGTTATTCAGAGAACTGTATGATTTGAAATAACTGCACAAGGTCTGAACCTTGACTTTGGCTATTCATTGGTATCCCACATACTTCACAACACAGAAAAGCCTGTTTCACAATCAGGAAATACATAATAGGAAAATATCACATAGTTGGAATGAATAGGGTATGGATATGTGCCAGTGCTGTTAACTTAGTATTGAACAATGGCTCACATTTATGCAGTAAAAATCCAATAGAGTCAAAGAAGCTGGTTTGTGCTCACTCCATGTTGTTTCAGTATCACATTGGAATATATTGTATAACTACACGACGAAATCTCCTGAGACTTTGAGAGAAAAACGCATTCCACAGTGGGTTCAATATAAACATTTCTCATCCAGCAGCAGCAGCAGCAGCAGCAGCAGCAGTAGCAGCACAGGAACCCTACAGTGTGCAAAAATGGAATGGAGGCTGTGCGAATTAATCCCTGCTGTATCTCCAAGGTATATAATAAATCAGGTAGAATACAAAGCATCAGCTATAGCAGGAGATGAATTAATTTTTTGTGTGTTGCAGGAGTTTCAGAGGAGCTGGATTCATTTTGTTATAAACTGAAATCAAACCCTATTTTTGGGTTAATACTACTGGTCATCATTTTCCCCCAGCAATAGCCATTAAATGTATTAATACATTTATTCATTACCTCTATATATTGTGGTTTTCATTGTTAGTGTCGGGGTATGCCATCCCTGCACTGGATTCAATTACCTACCTATGCACAGGGGATTTCACTGGAAGCCTCACTGAGCTGTAACTGACAGGTGTGAACGTAGAATCAATTCTCTCATCTAACACTCCACCAGGAAGTAAATTAGGGCACTGCCCTCATCAAAATATCAAACTATTATCTCAACATCAGAGAAACTGATATGAATGAATTGTACTTTAAACACCAGGCTTTCAATTAGTTTCATAGAAGCTACATTTATCAGTTTTTTTTTTTTTTGGAGGAACAGTTGATACAAAGTCTATGTTCTGTAAAAGTGAAATGTTCCAATGATCTGTTTATGTTTAGAAAATTACATTCCATTGCTCGTCTGCCTGTGGCGTCCCGCGTGCTGGAAGTATTTCTACTTCTGCTACTTCAAACCCCAACAGGCTTTTTTTTTTTTTTTTGCTTCCTATGATTTACCATGAATTAGACTCTCTTCTTGGTAACAGATGTAGTGGTGACACATGCCCCTCGAGGTTTTGAAGAATAGATGCGGAACAGGATGTGTGGGTACACGTCCCCACATCCTCATCTACATGGCTGCCCCGATGGCCACTACATATTCATTCCGCCTTACCAGCAGCCTGCCTGACAGGAGGCTAAAGATGAGAGGGTTTCATTTCGCCAGCATCAATCATGCAATCAAATATTACAGGCCCAGCAATCAGTGCAATGATGTGCCAGCCCCTGTGCCCGTGCACGCCTGTGTGTGCAGTCGCAAATCCGGCACAAAGAATTTCAGCAATTATGCGTTCCTGTCATAACAAGATACTGGCTCTAAGGAAGGACTTTTTTTTTTTTTAACTTTTTTATTGCTATTCAGAGCTTGTCATACACATAGATTTCTGTTGAGCTTTATTTGTAGCCTTAGGTCAAATCACAATAAATTAAATGCATGCAGCGTCTCGAGTCCAGTTTGTATGCTGCAGTGCACCGGTTACATTTGCGTTGCAATCCCTCTGTTACGGCATTGGAGAGATAAAATCTAATGTAGTGTCATGCAGTGGCTTCCAACCTGGGATTCAAAGGCGAGATGAATCTGGGATTGCAAGGTGAGAACTGGCAAGTAGAAATAACACAAGACACAATTCTCCAATACAGATATATATTTTTTAGTTTTACCTCCTCTGGCCTTGAAAATCACTATTTTGATTGAAAGGCTCACAACCTGTAGATATGCAGCCTGTCAATAAGCACACATGGTGAGGAACCACTGGTGTATCCTACTCACATAGCTGGATAATCTTGGTCAGACAAGTGTCTTGTTCGATTCACAGAAACTGCAAATAAATTTCAAGGGCTGCCTTTATTTCAAAGCACTGTGGGGGATTTATAGCTCACACAACACTGACGAGTAAAATTACTGATACAGATGCAGTGAAAAAGTTTCTATGTTCCGTATTAGTGAGTGAGACTTTAGACTTCAAGCTAAACAATGAACTGAAACTCCCTCCATTCAGCTGAGGGCTGCAGAGCCGTGGTCATCTGCACGAACGACATGGGTTTTTATTATTATTATCGGTAGTATTGGTCTTAGTGGTAGTAGAAGTAGTTATATATACTGAAGAAGGCACCTACAAATAAACAAACACCCACACTTGCACGTGCAAAAACCAACAAGCTGACACTCGTCACGAGACAATCTGTTGCCCTTTGTTGTTTTGTTGCCATCTTGTTCATTCAGTTTTATTTTCCCCGTCTCATCCTGTTAACGATCCTGTCTTTGGTGTTGTTAAATAATAAAATTAAAAGATAAAAAATTATTTATGTGTCAAAAGTGAAGATTCAGAGGCATTTTCACTTGTCAAAACAAACAATTAGCTTTAATGATTTATTAAAGTTGCTTTTCAGTTTGTTTACAGGTATTGGTGTTCGTTACCAAATCAAAGCACAACAGAAATATGAATATATCCGAGGTCCAAATGTACAGACGGAATGAGCTCTACCATGATCAAAATAAATACAAGATACTTTAAATATATTTTCTCTTTATAATGTAGTGATACAATAAAGTCTCCTCACAGAGTGTTAACGCACATTTTTAGAGATACTTTTACATTTGAGACAAAGAAGGTGTCTCAGGCTGAAGAATGAGGAGAGGAAACTAAGAGAAATAACTGACCACTATATCTAGCAGTACTGCAGATAGATGTCAGGGCAGGTGTAGCTTTTATAATAATAGCTTTTTTTTTTGGCGTTCTGTGCACATTACAGTAAGGTAGCTAAATGAAGGAAATACAGTTCTACAATATCATACAACATTATACAAGCCAGGATTTAAAGGAACTATTCCTGAAAGCTCTTGGCCACAGTCATCAGCATGCATGTTTAGGCCGTAGGAACTCTCCATCTCCTCATCCAGTCTGCTTTTTCATCCAGTTTAATTGTATTCATCAGTACACAACTCATCAAAAGCCCAAAAACACCACAGGCATTGTAATTTTCATTCCAATTTAGGATCGCTGTAGTAACCTATACTAGTGTCTTCTTGGCTTTTCTCCACTGGAATAATATCAAACAAGCACTGCAGGGTTATGAATAAAAATATAAATGAAAAAAAAAAAAAATTGGCTTTTGCATTGCAGAGAATCAGTCACTTTCAAGTCTATAAATTGGCTATAGGGTGTCAACTATCCCTTTTGATATAAGCGGCACAATAATGAGCAGTCAAAGACAGAGGAACATTAAAAGATGCTGCTGGAGAATGCTGGGTGACGCCATTGTCTCTGTCTCCTGTTGCTTTCAAACACATGGATGCCTTTTGAATTCTTCTGTATGTGTGTATGCGTGCGTATTTGAATGCATGTGTGTGTGAGTGAGTGAGTGTGTGCATGCGAGTGGGTGGGTTGCTCCGCCAGTGTGTCTTTGTCCGTGTGACAGTGTAGGCAGTAGATGTGACATTCTGGATTCACTCATTAGTTGTTAGTCATAATCCACCAGGAAGCTGAGGGGACGGACACACACACACACACACACACACACACACACACACACACACACACACACACACACACACACACACACACACACACACACACACACACACACACACACACACAGAGAAGAGAAACGTATTAAGTCACACTCACGACCCAACCTGCTGTTTTACTCAGGGAAATTCATGACTCCTTTGGGAGATGTCAGGGTAAATTTAAAATCATTAATCTAATTTACATTTTATTAAGCGCCAATTTTTCCAGTTTATCAGCGTAACATTTACATCAGCCAAAGAACAAATATGATTTACATAATTTAGGGAAGGCAGCAATTAAAACAATGTAATTGGAGAAAATAAGCCTTTATAGATACATTAAGGTTATATGGCTGCGTGCGTATTGTTTTTGTTTTTTACACGAACGTCACAGACACAGGGCAAATACAAAGCAAACAAAGTTACAGTGTATTTAACCTGGTGCTTATTTTTAACCTGACCTTTTCACTCAGAGAGTACCACTCGCTTTAGCTGTGCTACAGTTTCTTGGTTGGTAATCAAACAAAGTTGGACAGGACAACCATGTCATTAAACACAAGGCTGTTTGGTGCAAAGCTCCTACTGAGGAAAAAAATGAAGCTAGTGTTCGGTGACAGTCAGCGGCACAGACAATAACAGCCGCAGGTAGGAGCAGCAGAACGCTGTGATTTATTTATTTTTCTATTATTGATTCCAGAGTCGACTCCTTCCTGTGCTTCTGACGTACACCTCATAAACTATCCTCCGTCTTCCTCAGTGCATTGTGCCTGCACTCGTATTCTCAACGGTCAAACGTCTCTGATGCTCAGGGCAAAGCTACCCACTAATAATGTCTGTACTGAGACAGGCAATATCTCAAGACAGACAGATAAGTAGTTGTTTCTATGAGAAGCAACTTAATAGCTGTTTTACTAGACTAAGAAAAAAAGCTCAAAACTCATCAACGTGCAGGCAGACGAAGCGCCCACAAGCCAGGACCTTCACTAATGGTGAGAGTCTGTTTGCATCTAATGATGAGTAATAAAGAAATCTTTAAAATGCACTCACAAGCTGATTTCCTGTAATTATCCTTGTGAAGTACTTAACACTTACACAGATTATGTTGAGGTTGTTTTTCTTGATGTCCAACTGACTGTTTTCAAACATCTGATTTTTCTGTACCGTCTGTTTGTATCTGCTTTCAAAAGTGACCCATATCAGATTCCTGTGCTTACACCAAAACTCTTCAGTTTATGTCTGACACAGTCACAGATGTGGAAATAAACAACCGTGTACAGTAACCTACACACACAGCTAAAGCACCATCTGCAATGGACGTAAATAGGCACGAGTAATAATTAACGCTACTGCTTTCTGCATCACATTTTATAGGCTTGCAACAACTTAATCAAATGTCAAGATGAGAAAGAAGAGTCATGATTGTAACCTGGGCTGGAGTGGCAGTGATTCATGCCACTCTCCCATGTATCGATCCCGCTGAGGAGTCAATGACGGGGGTGACGAGAAAAAAAAAAAAAGTTATGTGCATCAGATGTAAGTCATGTTGCCAAGAATACGGTGCTTATCTCCATATGAAAATGTGAAACAAGGCAAGTAAATATTTTATATTCTGTGTTTTTGCCTCGTGTATAACATCTGATCTGTGCATGTGAACCAAACAGCAGAATTGGATAACTTTCAACAAGCAGTGTAAAAATAGTCTTCGAAGTGGATATTTATTTCTTCAGAAACATCTAATATTTGCACATCCACAGTAAATGTCTGTCTGTACACAACTGACATATCAATATGGAGCATTTGTTATCAGGGCTACACTGGGTGAAAGGTAGGTCACTGATATAAACATTTTGCATGGCCTAAGATGCCCAGGGAAAGGCTGGATAGCAGGTCAATGATGCTATTTCAGAGCTATTCAAAGTGTGGTGAATGTGTGCGTATCGCTGACATGGATGCCACACACTCAGTGTGTCATTTTCAAGCCTGCTTTCTACCCAGGCTATTTTTCTAAAGATGTTCTTCAAAAGACTAGGAATTTCTGTTGACGGAGGAGAAGCAGGGCTCTGTTTGTGTGACCTCACAAAATGTCAGACGAGCAGGCAGACAGGTAATAATCGCTCCACATGCAGAAGTTTGGGCCCAGTGTGCAGTGACTGTTGGGAGAGCCCTAGGTGCCAGAACTGGACTCATGACTCATACCAACACCATATGAACACCAAATCAAAAAATCTCGGCAGACATTAGGTCGTATCTTACATGTGTTGATCTCACACTAAGCAGGGTTTGCAGGCACTTGGTTTTATATGACTATATACACATATGATTGCACTCGCTGAAACACATACAGTACACAAACCTGGGAGCAACATAGTAGATACTACTTCAGCATCCTCCAACATGTCAATGATGCAGCGCTGGAAATCTTTACTGCTGTTGGACTGCAGATAGCTACAGAGACAGACAACGAAGAAGCAAAACGGGAAGAAAAATGCAGCAAAAAGCAAAAAACAAATAGATAAAGAAAAGGTTAGAATAAACTAACTTGACCATCACCTGTTGTATAATAAATCACTGTTGAAATAAAGAGTTTGTAACTGGAGATATTCTGCATTTTAAAATGAATTTTTGTCTGTAGATACTTGCATGTCAGGGAGTTACACAATTTTGTTTTACTAAACAAAGTGTATTTCAAAAAGCTATATGCTCATTACTTCGTACTGAATGTTTTCCTGTTGTTTTTAATCAAATTTTTAGCAGACATGCTGGGCACAATGTTCTGAATGACAGATTAATGTATTCATTGATATGTATATGGCATAGATTCCATTTCAAACCATCCTTGTGTGTCCCTGTGTCCCTCTGTGTGTGTGTGTGTGTGTGTGTGTGTGTGTGTGTGTGCGCGAACTGAGAGATGGGCCATCTGCTCATATTCACTGGAGGGGAACATTTCCATCAAAAAGTTAAGAGTGCCAAACTAGTCTGCCAATATCTGACATACACACTGACAGACAAACACACACAAACACACAGACACACACACCATACTGACCTCATCCAGGAGATGCGGTCTTGCCAGAACTCATACATTATGTAACACGACTTTCCTGGGAGCTTGTGAACGGACACACTGACAGCGGATAGAGAGCAAAAGTAGAATGGGGCAAGAAGAGGATACAAAGTCTAAGAGAGTTTTCACTTTGCAAAGATAAATCAAATGAAAAAAGTTTGACTCTTTAGAAAGATAAAGAGATGTCTGTTAGAAGTAGCCAGGGCAAGCAAGGCAGCAACAAAGCATTAGTATAAAACAGGAACTCTTTTTCATTAAGTTCGAAGCTGTGAAAATGCTAAGCTGTTATTACCGTAAAACTTTTAACAGTTTGGCTGCTAAAGCTGCTGTTATAATATCCCATGATAATTGATGAGAGCATGCTGATGGGAATTTTTCATCAACAGTATGTTTTTTTCAATCCTTTTTACTCATAGACAACAGTTTTTACAATCCAAACCCCTGATTCAACATTGCCTCAGTGCTCATGAAGGTGTCTCAGCAGCAGAGCCAGCACAATGTTTAAAAGATATATTACTTTGCCTGAAAACAAACAAGACACTCACTGCAGGTTGTCAGAGTGGGCTGAGGTGGAATCGATGTAGCTTTTCAGAACTTTCCGGAAGTTGTCCAGATCTTCATCGGTCACAGTCATCTGCCTCTGAACCAGCAAGATATTCTGTTGACGACGAGACGAGAGACAGAGAAGAGGAATGAAATGAGATGACACATTAAACAACTATTGTCAAGATGGATACTTGTGAAACCGTTTGATGGAGGACTTGTTGTACCTTCCTCAGGGTACATATCTCATCATCACTGACAACAGATGAGATATAAATAAATAAATGTGATGCCTCTTTGTATTTATGTTGTACTGTATGCTCTCACTTAAGGCACATTCAGTTTTGTTTGTCATCCAAAGCCTGAGTGGAAACAGCTGCACAAAGAAAGATGGAGAGTGAAAATCAGGCGCTTTTTCTAAACTCTAATGAATCAAAAACACAGCAAACTGATTACATAAGAGAATACTGACGCTAGACCTGCATTATAATAACGGTGTTGCCATGATACCTCATCACTGTCGTTTAGAATAGCTTGTCACTTTCTTCATATAATATACTGACAACAGCAGGATGCTGGTTTTCTCCATCTCAACTTAATGTGAACACACAGTAGTAGTCAGTTGTTGCAAGTTATTTGTCACGTGTCGCAATTCACATTTCAAAATGGATTTGAACTGAACTCTACCTGGCATGTGGTCTCCCAGTGCGCCACACCAACCCCCTGCCCACATCACATTAACAACAATTCAGTGCTAGAGTGAGTTATTATTGCAACCTCTCTTATGTGTTCTTCTTAAAACCCTATTTCGCAGACTTGAATCTTCCTTGAAGGGTCAGTTCACTCACATGACAAAAACTTTTGTTTCCACATCAATATGATGGAAGCAAACGGGATTTAATTCATGATGCTCAAAGCATTTAAAAATACCAGTTAAGAACTGAACAATCCACAGACCTGCCTTAGAAGAATTAACATCAAAACAAAAATAGTAGCTATGAAAATAGGAGAAAATCAAATTACATTCTCCTCAGTTGTATTGCAGTGGTGGTTTTACAGGTATGCCTCAAAACAATCGGCTTGAGCAAACCGCATTAAAAGGTGAGTAATTAAGTATGTACTTTATCAGATTTAACCATTAAAATTGTGTGTATTTTTGTATCAGCCCTTTGTCACAAGGATGATCTACATTTCTTTTAATATTATTTGCTTTTTACTGGGTTTAATTTTGAAGGGCTTAAAAGAAACAAAAAAATAGAGGCACATTACTTTATATAATTTTACCTTTTTTCACCAATCCGTATAGAAACATGTAAAAACAGACATTAACTTTACTATTACTGCTATAAATACTTTGAGTCCCGTCAGTAATTTATTTTGTCTGTATATGGACACGTCAAATATAATCTGACCCAAACTCAGACAATTCAGACACGATTTTCTCTTGTTTTGAAGCAAGGCTAGTGAACATGAACTAACCTCCATTGCTTGCTGCTTGACATTTTGAATGAGGACAGTGAACAAATTGGATGACTAAAATGCAATTTCAAGAGAGCATGATTACTGAGTGCAGCCGAAAAAGAGTTTAAATAACATCTTGTCAGCTTTTGGGAACATACTGTATCTGCTGGAGGTGTACAGAGTCAGGAGGAGGAGTAACCGGGAATGGTGCTAGAGTAGAAGTTCAAGGACCAGTGTGTAGGATATAGGGGGGGCAGTCTTATATAATATTCCTAATTATGGTTTCAATAGTTTAGTATCACCTGAAACTAAGAATTGTTGTGATTTCAAATATTGTTTTGCCTGAACTATATTTGCCCATGACTTATTTTATGTACAATGAGAGTTAAATGATCTGAGCTGCGTTTGGACACAGAAGAACGAAAGCAAAACAAAGTGTGAAAATACTGTTTTAAATCAGCAATTATCCACTAAAGTTATTTTTAACTTGATTCGCACAGTAAAGTGCAGTTACTGCAATCAAGCTAGTGTATGATTAGCCAAGGGGAAGGTTATTCTATATAATAATTATGCTGAGCAGTAGCCTCAGGCAGAGAACTGTCACATTACAACATTAGAGCAAAGGTCTCTCCATATAGTTTAATTGCTGTGAAATGCTGTCTTTAAAACCTGACATGAGCCTTAACTGATTGGTGTGTGTGTGTGTGTGTGTGCGTGCGTGCGTGCGTGCGTGCGTGCGTGGTGTATCTAGTAATACCTTGTGTGTGGCAGCCTGTGGTATGATCCATTTCATGTATCACTAAAGTAAAGCTGTTTACAGTGATTGTCAAAATGAAAAAACTCTACTACCACTCTAATGGTGACCCAGTACCTGTTCAATTAAAGCTAACTGCCCGAAAACAAGATGTTTAGTCAGTAATTCACTCAGGTCAGTATTCACAGGTGAAAACCTGCTATTAGCGGTGACTTACAGACTTGTACGTGCTGGCCAGTGTGTCCTCTTTCAGTGGCTCCAGCTTGGGACTCTAAAACGAGATGGTAACACACATGAGAAGAGGCTTCTGACCATATGGTTAAGAATAATTTGTGTTGCCAGAGATATGAACATAAATTACTGTAATTAAACCACTGAACCAATGTCTGAAAACTTTATTTATTCTGCCAGTTGTTAATCACAATTTGCTCATGTTTGAAATATAGTTTGTGTGCAAAATGCATTTCATATATTCTGAATTAATCACTATATTCTATTTATATATATATATATTCTATAGAACATTTAGTTTTTAAATAACATTTTAGTAACACATTAAACTGAAGTTCATTTGTAGATACAAGACCATCCTCCCCATAAGATGTGTGCAAGCAGCTTATTATCACCTATAGTTACCTTTTAAAAGGTACTAATAGTGGTAAGATGGCACCAGTGTGTGTGGCCTGCCAATATGATATCTGTTTTTATGTGCTTGATTTAATGTTTTTCAAACGCCATTGTGCAAGACAAATTCCTCACCAGGGAATAAAAGTTACATCCATTCATTCAAAGAGGCCATTGTGTTTCTGATAGCTAAAAGTGTAACAGAACGATGAGATGAGTCACGTAGGACTACAGAGAAACAAGTAGAAAACATGTAATCTATCCTCTTATCCTGGGGCTGTATGTAGCCTATATATATGATATAATATATGAATAATTAAATATAGCAAATGTAATAACATAGAAAGTTTTCATTCTTAAAGGTTATGGTTCTTGTGTAAGTGTGTGTGTGTGTGTGTGTGTGTGTGTATGTGTGTGTGTGTGTGTGTGTGTGTGTGTGTGTGTGTGTGTGTGTGTGTGTGTGTGTGTGTAGACAGTGAACATAACCTTTGAGGCAGAAAACTCATTCTGTTGCATTTGAGAGAGCTGAGAAAGGGAGCAAGATGCACACAAGATGTGTGTGTGTGTGTGTGTGTGAGTGTGTGTGTGACGGTGGTGGCATTGAGGTGTGGGGATGGATATTGCACTCAGAATATCCTACAGGTTATGAATTGCTTTGATATTCCACTCTTGAGTCCCCCTGGGTTGACAAACCGAGGACTGGAGAGAGAAATATGCTTTGAGAGAGACTGAAAGGAGGGGAAAATGAACATCAAAAAATGGGAATAACAGGAGTTAATAAAGAAAAGAACAGACAGAGAGAATGAGATGGAGCAGAAGATGGGGGAGGAGGGTGTAGAAGAGGTTTCGAGACGTGGTAGCGAGAATGGGTCATAGGATACAGAATGAGCGCTGAGAGGTGACTATGCTTTGTGTTTGACAGCAACACAGTTCTTCAGAACTCTTCGAAGCAGTGTTTTATACATGATGTGAGTGCATGTATTGTTCTTTTTGATCATCACAAACACAAAAATTTCAAATCAGCACAAAGCTGAGTAAAAATTTCAAATACATAACATAAACTGCTGCATTAAGGACTGAAAATACACAATAGGCCTGTTCAAGAAGTCTGTCATTTTTCTCATCATGGCTGAAACTGTTCAAGCACTGAGCTGACACCTTGTTACAGACATAATCATGAAAACGCAACACGAAACCAGTCCCAGTGAAATCCATATATGTACTTCTCATTATTCTTAATATGTTAAAATACTGTGCCCCAAAACAAAATAATAATAAAAAAATAATGCATTATTTCTGTTTTATATATTCACTGCATAATTTATCATAAGCCATAAAAACATTCTAAATGTATTTAAAAGTGAGGTGGCCGGCAAACAGGCCTCACACTGCCTTAGTTATTTTGTTATTTCCCATCTGATTGATTCAGTTCAACCTGTTCAAAAACATATATTATATAAAATATTATAGCTCTGTGCTCACGTTTGCCTAACCTTTTTTTTTTTCATGAATAATAAAAACAATGCTTTATTTCAATGGCACCTTTCCAAACAAGGTTAAAGCCAGTTCACAGGAGAAAAGACAAAACAGTAAAATAACAGAGATTTTGCCCAATCTATAGTAGCTATCGACAGGGATCTTTAATCTAATACCCAAATGCCCTTGTCGGAGCATTATCTGTAAGGGGTCATTTTATTAGAGCTGTTTTGTGATTATTGATTTTATTGTTTTCTGTTCCTTCCTCTTTGTTGTAGTAGTTCCTGTTTTATTTTGGTGTTACTGAGTTTTCTCTCGTTTCAGATCCTCACTTCCTGCCCTTGTGTGTCTTCCGCTCCTGTGATTATCTGCTCAGCCCTAATTTGTTGCACCTGCGTCTCGTTATCTCCCCTCTACTAGTTTATTAGTCTGAATACTTAGGCACACTATTGTTATTTATTCTCTGTGCTTCTTTCTTCTGTATCAGTTTGTCTTTGTTCCCTGCAACAAGCGTACCAGCCATTTCCTTGTCTTTACCTCTCGTCTTTGACCAATTTCTTAGTTTTCTGACCTTGCCTCAGCCTTGAGCTTTTTTGATATTTTTTGCCTGCCTGTGTACTGAACCATCTCCCTCAGTGAAGACTTTGATCTTTGAAACCTGATTTTGTCTTGTGTTTTGCCTTTGTTTCTTCCTAACTTGAAGCACTAATTTGACAGCTAATCTATCCTTTCTTTGATCAGAAACATGGATACTGTTATGATCATGTATACAGAAATATGAATAAATAGGTTTCTCATGATCAATGTAGACAGTATCTTATTGTCTCAGTATCTTATGGGATCTCATTGTATGTTGTAATTGCTTCACTGATTTTGTTGTGCAAAGTTTCCAGTAAAGACCTCAAAGACCAACTCCTGTCTTCAACCTTAATTGGAAGTGTGTTTAACTTGCTGCATCGCTGTGCACCTACACACACAGTGAGGGCAGAGGATCATTACAAAAGTAAAAAGAGGCAGGGCACAGAAACACCACATAATACAGAAATGTGAGATTATAGAAATTAGTTTTTTCTAGAAAAGGCTGTTCAAGAAATACATTGTTGTCCACTTCAAGATGTACATAAAGAAACGTTTCATACCTGACACTCCAGTTTATCCAGTAGTTGCTGCAGCCTGTTGATTTGGGAGCACCAGTTCTCTCCATCTTCCATGTTCACACCTGAGATAACACAATGCTAAATCAGTGGAATGACCAAAAAATGTAAATGTTTGATCCACCTCCATTGTGCATACTAATAATTCTAACTGGATTTGAGTGTAGAAGTGTATCCATACTGTGGTGTACATTTTAGAGTACTGATATACATTATATATATATATATATATATATATATGGTTTCCATCAGCTGACAAGGGCAAAAAATACAGACGACAGAAGTGTTTTATACCATAAGTGAAAATGCTCCCTTTTCGAAATCGCAAACAAAATATTTGATAAATATCTATATATATCTATATTTCACTTTGAAAAAGTTTGAAGGATTCAGGGAAAAATGTCAAAGAATAATGCACCTATACAGTTACTCTATAATGAAAATCAGGTTCAGACTTATTATTATGTATATAAAAGGAAATTCAACACCTGAATGACTGAATTCTTTTAAAGTTTTTTTTTAAAGCCACAGTTAATTTCTTCATTGTGGGCTCAATATCTGCTGTTCAGTCCATCAATACTAGTGAAGAAGAAAATAAATGAGGCTCAATAATAAAATAATTTTCTCTAGTAAATGTCAATAGGACCTGTATAGATGAAAAAGGCCTTCAGGGAGAGCTTATTGCCTGTTCAAATTATGCACAGTACTAATGACAGTGATGGGAGGCATCCATGTGTACATCACTGAACACAATTCCCTCGAATGTCTGATGATTAGACATACTGCTCATCACTGATATGCTTTGGTGGGAATGTAAAATTAATCAATCAAATGATCATAATATAAGAAATATTACTTTATAGTGTGACTTTGACATGATTCTGCATGTATTTACATATCAAAGGATATTATATAGCAATAAAACATGGTTTTTCCCCCCACTGTTAATCAAAGGATAAGGTGATATTTTTCTCATTGTCAATAAATCCTTTGAAAATACCAAAACTGACAACAAATACATGCTACTGTGTAGCCACAGCTTGATACATCCTATTCATCTGTGCCATAGACCTCAGTTCTGTCAAAAACTATTAAAAACACATCAGTGAGCCACATTGTTGCACTGGGTTCCTTCATTATGATGAAAATAGCGTAGTTTACTTTGAGTCAATCCCACATACACTGTCCTCCAGCCAAAAATACAAACAAATGTACAAATCTACAACTACTATTTCCTCTTGCACCTAAAACCAGCATGTCTGCTCTTTTAGAAAACTTTTAAAAAATAAATAAATAAAAGTCTATATTTTTGACCTGCTTTTAAAGATATGTCTTCAGTAGGAACCAGTGTGCCACAGACAGGTTGATCAGAAAGTGGAAAGAAACCGCAATAGATGAACACATTGTTAGTTTTGGTCTTTTCATGACAATAACAAAAATATAGATTATCACCAGCCATATCATTGTTTGTCCCCACCATCACATATGACCTGTAGGAGCGTACCAGCAGCAGACATACCAGACATTTGTTATCATGGTAACAATAGTAAACACACAGTTATAATCATGGATAAAAATAATAATGTTGACTATTGGTTTAGCATGAACAATAGTTCCTGTATGAAAGTCTTGTGTTTTGCCAATCCATCCATCCTGAGCTTCTCCTGATGTTGACTTTGTTGCTCTTTCTACCTATACCTATGCTGCTTGCACAGGCAACCTATGGGGTCATGTTTTACAGGAGTACCCTCAAAACCTTCATGCTTGTAAATCTGTAGCAGACTGCTGTTTATTTGTATTACGTATAGCTCTTTTATTTGTCTTTAATCACTTCTAACATACAATATAATGGAGTTGTATAGTTCAGAGGAATAACTGCTGGTTTTGTTGGTTGACTTGTTGATGATACAGTATATCGACAAATCAATATTCATGTTACCTGTGGTCAGGATGCCAGAGCAGGGATCTGATGGGGACATGCACAGGTTATTATGGACCCTCCGACCACACCGCCTGCCATTCCTCTGTACTGCTGTCAGCTCAGGTGCCTTTACCTCTCTCCTGCCATGACAGCAGTGGAGACCCAGGGAGACAAACATAAGAGAGAAAGACAGCAACTGTCAAAGGAGTCAGGGGAGAAAAAAAAATAAAACAGAAATTGAAGATATGGCAGAGAGAGGTGGTCACATGGGGAATGAAGAAGAGGATATGGAATGAAAGTAGGGAGGAATGAGTGAGGACTGGAGGAAAAGGTGCAAGATATAGACAGAGAGAAACCGGGAGTGAGGTAAAAGAAGGATGCATTAATAATTGATTTAAATCAGAAACTGAGATAGGTTAATGTCTGATGCAAGAGGCAGAGTGCAGTCGATGGTGCAGAGACACAGGAGCCAGAGATAAACAGCAAGTGTCCAGAATAGAGGTGAAAACACTGTGAAGTGAAGGGCCGGATACACACGAGTGCTTATTAACCCACAGGCTGGAAGTTAAAGAGGACTAATCCCTCCACTTACACACTCAAATATGCACACACACACACACAAACACACGCATGCACAGACAAACGCACACAGCTCTGTCGTAGATGGAAAACTGTTTACCATGTGTAAATGCAGACTGTCAAGGCTAGGACGTCAAGTTATGAGAGTGTGACACTTGAGACACACACACAGTAGGTGTGTGTGTATGTGAGTGCATACTTTGATTTCACTGTGTTTGTGTGTGTGTGCGTTTGCGTGTGTTTGTGTGTGTGTGTGTGCGTGTGTGTTTGTGTGTGTGTGTGTGTGTTTCTGTGTGTCTAAATGCCCCAGTACATTTGTTTGTTCTTGTTAGTGTGTGCCTCTTTCTCTCTCCTTTTGTCGTGTCTTTGTGTGTGCACGCTATTTTGTGTATGTGTGCGTGTGTGTGTGCGCAACGTCACGCTGACAGCACAGAGGGAGTGCATTGCTAGGAGGTTCTCATGCTGAGAACAGCCTGGAACCCAAAGGCCACTGCAACAGCCATAAATCCACTTCAGGGAAGCAAAGAAGGGAGAAATAGCTGTTTGTTGCCAACTCAATATGTCTCTAATTCAGCCCCGCCCAACACTCACACTCACTCGTTCTCTTTCCAAAATCTATACCTGTTTGAACAGTCTCAAAAGAGTTATTTGTGGCCAAAAAGCTCCTCATCAAGTCCCTTTGTATGCCCCTATCTCAGTTTTTCCATCTACAGTATCTCAGACTTTCTACACCACTCTGTCACTCACTTACTTTTTGTGTTCATCTTCCTCTTTCCCTGTGACTCACTTGCTCTGTTTTTCAGTGCCATCGTTATCATCCTTGCTCCTTCTGCTCCCTCTTCTCCCTCCCCTCTTCTGCCTCCCCCAGTCCCCTCTCAATAATTCACCTTGGCTATAATCGCTCCATTATTTTCGATAATACCAGTGTGGCACCCACAGGGGAGAGAGGAGAGCTCTGCTGAGCCATGACACATGCAGTGCAACAGACGTCCCAGCAGCCAGTCGTGCTGCCGAATTACTTAACCACGAAAAGTGGGTAAAGTGTCCTTAAATGCTAACAATCTGTGTTTTGAAAGCCACTTGTCATGATATTGCCCTGTGGTGAGATGGATTTCTACTCACTGAATGCCTTTTAATGGATTGCTTCTCAGAGCATCTTCCGCACTGAATTTCTTTAGTAAGTGAAAGAAATGTGTGACCCCGTGCTGAGATCTCGGATGAACCATAATGTATACAGAAACGTATTAAGTGCCGGTTTTGAATATCAAAAATTTGCAGTCAGTTGTACCATTTCATGCAGTGACTCATACCCAGTGGCTCAACATATCCAAAATTGGTAACAGCAATTTAGATCTGTTTTCATCCTATGAGCTCCATTTACATTTAACAAAAGTGTCAGGCTCTTTGACAGAAACACTGTAACACAAGCAACATGCAAAGGCATACCTTGAAAGAAAGGCATCTGAGGTAGCACTGATTAGCTGAATTTCCTTTCTGCTTAGACCAATCCTACCTGATAACTCATAATGCATTATGGGAATGCTTTCCTCTAGCAATTTTGATAATACCATATCTTCCCAAAAGCTGATTTAATAATACCACTTCCTGGCGTTTGTTGATCTATGCCTCAAAATTTTCAACCTGCAGCCTGCGGAGTACAACAAGTCCTCATGCCTAAACAACAAAATTGGTAGTTTCATTGTGTAGCTCACAAGGTCAATCCTGCAGACAAGCTGTGCTCTACTTCTCCAGTAGGCTTAAAGGGGCTATTTGTAGGTTTTCTGTTCTATTGAACGAGGTTTCTTGCCAGGAGCAGGTAGTGGTGGTGTCGCTTGACAAGAGCTTTGGCCATCATTGTGTTTACAAGACAAGAGGTTATAATAAGCCATCTGAGCAGCGCTACGTCTTCAGGGAAAACTGAAGGCTAGTGAGTCGCTGTCGAAAATTAACGTGCTAACTTCAGTAGAGGAAAAGACGTGAGTAAAGGAATGAAATTTGATGGTGAACTTGCAATGTAAGTAAACAGATGTTAATGCTAATGCTAGCTATGTAGCAATAGCAAAACTTACCAATAGCTCCTTTAATAAGCTTTAGGCAGAAAACTAAAAAAAATAAAATGGTATAAAATTTAAGAAGTAAAATTATGCACGTGCAGTCTTTATTCCATGAGCTGACACTGTTCCTTCTTCAGAGTATAAAGAAACAAGTATGACAACACCATGACCACTTTTTCTGGTTTTTCCTAACCTGACCCTACGGTTAAGGTAAGGTTAGGTTTGGGTTTATTATTACAGAGAATTTGTGGTCATGATTGTTGAGGTGTGTTTTAATTGAAACAGCTAAACACTTGGTTATGTTAAATAGGTGGAGAGATCGTTAACCACAGTTCACTGTTTTTTTTCCATCACACCACTGAATGTGAACAGAGGTCCTATTTTGTGCTGATAAATGATTGCAACTGAGACCTGTCAGCCAGCGGGCCCATGCCTGAGCACTACCCAAGGCAATAACATAGTGTATTGTAAAAGGTGTCAAAGCAATCTGTACAAGTGATACACAATACAGACAGTGTCATATTGCAGTACTCACGGGGCAGGGCTGCTCTGCTCTTCCACAGCCTCCATGGCACACTGCAGTGACCTCTGTAGAGACAGCAGCTGACTGGATGTCTCTCTTAGCATGAACCTGGTGACAAACTGGCCCAACACACTGGAACCCTGGTACTCCTGGAGGAGGGGGAGGGAGGGAGGGAGAGAGAGAGAAGCAGAGGTCAAAGCACATACTGACCAAACAGAAGCAACAACAAAGTAAAAGCATCTCAGAGACAAGACAAGGCCCCGAAGAGATGGAGAGCCAGATGATTTGATAACTTCTCAAAAACAACTACAGGCACTTGAGAAACGTGTGACAGCAGCAGTTAAATTGGCTAATTAATTCTCTGCACACATGCATTATTCAGTAACGCAAATTCCAAGGTGGAAGAACTTTAATAGGAGACATAATTGCTGCTCGAGTCCCCAAACACGAACATGATTACACATTCTCCGAGGAGTCGTGTTCACGCAATGTGCTAATGAAGTAACAGTGCAGTGGCTCTTTGTCAAAACTTATAATGACGAGTAGCCTCTACTGAAAATGCATCATGGGATTAGCAGTCCACAGTACTATGTGACAGACCACAGCTGCTAACTACCGACTGTACAATCCTCTATGGATTTCTTTACACTGACGGCTCTAAAGTCCTAGAACAGTGGAGCAAAGTGAGCTAATTAAGACAGGATGCATAATTATTCAGGACACATCTCCCCTCCTCTTTTCGTTTAACAAACGTTGCTGCTTTCTTCTCTATCAAAATTTTCTATTACAATTTTACATATAGCCTGAAGGTTCTTATCTCAAAAACTCCTGAGGTGATTTTAAAATATTTTTTCAACTGCAATTAAATAATGTATTGACTTGGGAGAGGAACGTTAGGCTGTGCAAAATGTTTGCATCTTAATCATGGGTAGTTTCCTGCAGTAGTTACATTACTCAAATTCACAAATTGACAAGACTAGAGAGTGGACAAGTTTAACCAAAGTTGAGCTACATTAGCAAAAATGAAAGAGAAAAACATGTTAATAAATATCTCTTACTCTGTGACAGAAGACGAAAGGACTGTCATATCTGTATGGTAGGTAAACATAAGAGTACCACCAGCAGCTTGTTAGCTTAGCTTAACATAAATACAGACAGGGGTAAACTCAATGATATATGCTTTAGAGGTGTTGGTAGACAGATTTTGGTACCTTTGGACAGAGCAGGGATTGCTGTTCCACCCTGTCCCAGCCTTTGTGCTAAACTAGGCTAACTGTTCTGGTTGCAGCTTCATATAGACTGTGCAGATGAGAGTTGCATCAACCTCATGTAACTCTCAGCTAGGAAGTGACTAAGCATATTTTCTCACAATGTTGGATTATTCCTTCAAAATCGAGTCCAAGGGTCAGTCATTTAAAAGGCTGTGGATGAAGTGTTTTTTATTCCTCTTTTGTTTACTCATCACTTCCAGGAGACTTGGTGCAGCATTGGCTCCATCTGTGCATGCCAGTATTTCCTCTCATAGGCATGAATCAGCACTAAACAAAGCATATTTGTAGCACTGACATTGTGCGTGTGTGTGTGTGGACATTGTGCGTGTGTGTGTGTGTGAGTGTGAGTGTGTGCGTGTGCGTGTGTGTGTGTATGCGTGGGTGCATTTTAACACCTAGTTGTTTTCAATCAACGTTTTTTTTTTCATAAAATACTGAATGAAGGCAAATTCACAAAAAAATAAATGGTTCGTAACAGAACTTTCAGAGGCAAAAATATATATAAAAAAATATATATAAAGTTGTTGTTATGAATATTGTTGAAATCGTACCTCTTTAGTTTTATCCATTGCCTTTAAAATGGCAATATTCAGGCTCTCCAGAGCTGAAAGGACATTGATATACTCCCCCAGGTGCTGAGAAAAGTAATCTAACAGGAAATAAGAAACAAGCTGTCAGTACCGTTGCAATGTCATAATCAAAAGTTTACACCGATCAGCCACATCATTAGTGTATTTTGACTCCTTAAAGCCGGAGACAAACTTTTACATGTTGCCATGACAGATACCAATTAAAAGACGACCACAGCAAGGACAGTGAGGATATCTTAGTAATGGGTAAAAATATCCATGTTTAGTTTTGTAAACAAGTCCAGTTGGAAGCGTTGGATCTTCACATGGTTGTGCGTCAATAATAACACTCACTGCTTACCATGTCATGAAACTGACAGTGTTCTGTTAGTCATCATTTTAATCACTTCATGTTATAACAGTAGCCCATTCATACCTGTAGCCATAAAGATTAATTTGATACCAGATAAAGTCAAATGACAAAAAGGAACTCCCACACACTAATATTTTATGTTGCAAATGATGGCATCCACAAACCTGAGAACATGAAAAATGATTTAGTTAACTTTTTAAATAAATCACAGGAAGAGACCGTGTAGGGAAACAATGATCCAAGGTTAATGGACCTGCAGCACCTTCTATACTTACTTTTATTCAAATTAGACTGAAGTTACCAGAGTGAATTTCTCACTATCACAAAGCAATGAACTAAGTTTGAAATGAGAGCAACATTCTGTTGTGGAGAACAGTCAACTTCTCTTGACGTCAGATGGAAAAAGATGCCATTCCCATTCAATAAATTATGTAGAAGTTACATTCTGGGTACTACTGGTATTTACAGGTCTCTGTCCTATTTCTCTTCACTTTATTCAGGCCATCTGACACACACATGCATTTCTAAGATGATAAAAAAAATATGGGTCAATAGATCCTGCCAGATTCTTTTTTTTCATATTTACAGATTAAAATCAGTGCTGCAGGTGGAGGGTGGTGGTGTAGGTTACAGTGTAAACACTTTTTTGCCAAATAAATTCTAAATAATAGAGAGGATTGAATGGAATAGTTGAATCACTTGCTTTCTATGGAGAATTTAATGAGCAGATTGATACCACTCTCATGCCTGTGCAGAAAATATCAAGCTACCACCAGCAGCTGGTTAGCTTAGCTTAGCACAAAGATGAGGAAACAGCTACCTAGCTCTGTCCAAAGGTGACAACCAGTGCCTCTAAATCTCACTAAGATATCATATTGGTCCATTGTTTATTTACTCAAAACAAAGACTGTTTCCAGTCTTTATGCTGAGCTAAGATAACCACCACCTGGCTATAACTTCATCTTTGACAGACAGATAAGGGAGTGATATCAATCTTCTCATCTACCTCTCAGCAAGAAAGCAAACATGTGTTGCTTTAATGTTATCCATGCTACTTATCACACAAAATATGGACCCACAGATAAAGGCAACAAACACTGATGTTGGTGAATTTCTAAGACATGAATTTTATAGAAATTAATGCATCGTGACACATTAAATCAGACAAAGCACTCTCCCACCAACCTGATAGCTTGTCAGTGTCCAGATTACTGCAGGGCAGAGCACAAGAGGAGATAAATTGGCAAAGTGTTGAGAAAATTAATTAAAGAAATTCAAAGTTGTGCTGCTCTTAATTTCTGCTTGAGAGATAGGCTGGCAGTGGCTCTGAGCTGTGTATATTATAGCATTAGCCCAAGGAAGAGACAAACATACATAAACACAGATTCAAGTGTTTAAATCTTACAAATAATAGAAAATGTGTTTTTGTGCACTTGCTTGAAGAAAATTTCTGGCAAAACATGAATGCTAATGTAGTTGCTCTAAAAATTGAAATCAATACTTCTTTGTTTAAAAGTCATGGCAAAAATGATAACAGTGAAGGCTAAACTGTTCTGAGTACCACAGTTTGATGAAAGCAGAACCATTAGTAAATTAAAAGTTCCCCTGTTGCTCTAATGGCATTTACAGATAATTTTCACTGTCAGGTGCAGATCATATGCGAAGCTGGTTAATGGCTTGTGTTGAGAAGAAACAGCATCCGTGGGCAACAACAAATAATGTCCTTTTTTCAGTTGCTGTTGTAAATGTTCATTTTGATAGTGACAATATGTTGAGACATCTACCACAACAATGACCAAAGAGATGATTCTTTTCCCTTTTACTATCAGTTGAGAGAGAAAATTCTCTGTACTATGTAACATATTCCACAAAGCCTGTGCAGGTTTGGGAAATGCTTTTCTTCCACCACCGCTATCATACAATTAACAGAACAAGAAAGGCCTTTAATTAGACATCAGAGCTCAGTTCATGCCAACTGCCTCAAGGTTTGGAGTGTGGTCAGAGAGGTCTGTGAGGGCTACTGTGTCACGTGAGTGCCAGTCCAAGCCTAACAGCCTGTCCAAAAGCAATTTATCACATGGTGATGGTAGAACTGGCAACACATCAGAAAATAAATGCAGAGTTGTTCCTGCAGCCAAACACTACTCTCACTCTAATTGGTTAGGTGCAAAAAAAAACATCAACAACGTACAAAGTCAATTTAAAAACTTGAGTACATCTCTGTGTGTGTGTGTGTGTGTGTGTGTGTGTGTGTGTGTGTGTGTGTGTGTGTGTGTGTGTGTGTGTGTGTGTCCATGGGTTTTGGTATGGTCCACCAGTCACGGTGAATCACAGTGAATTCACTATATTATCTTAGCTGATACATATGGTTTGAATGCCAAATTACAAAGTCTGGCCTCCAGTGTTGGTACAACATAAACAAGTGTGGTAAAAGGATACAAACTGTCTTATGAATACAAATCCCTAATCTTCCAAAGGCAATAAAGTAAACTGGCTTTAGAAAAAGGATGAAACCATTACAACCATTTTTAAAAAACGCAACAGTGAAGAAATAGTCTTTTCCTGTGTGGCTGCAGTGAGTTAAACCTTCTCTGCAGACCAGTGATTTCAGCAGCTGCCCTGAGGCTGATTTCTTCGATTGCAATTTTAGAGGAGTAGATTCTGAAGTGTCTGGTGCTTAATTCACAGTACTTTATGTCCAAAGGAAGGGGGTAAACATTAATTCAGCCTGGTTGAGAGGAACACATTAACTGGACCTTTAAGCTCAAAACACTTGTTCAGATTCTTTTGTGTGCCTTTCGGAGTGTAAAAAGCACAGGTTGAACACTGGTGTGAAGCACTTGTGGAAAAACAAAAACAAACCATTAGCCATTGTGCAGCCTGATGGATTAAAAGAGCCCATTTCAAATAATAAAACTCACTTATTTTGTCGGCCATCTATGGAGTAGAAAAGCTCCTGTAGCTCCTCTGTAGTCAGGATCCCATCCGCAAAGTAAGCATTGAACTCTTCAAATGACAGCTTGCCATCATCTGAAACACAGAGGAAGTGTTTGGCCTACATTATTACAGAGGCACAATAACAACCTAGTGTGTGTCACCAATTATGAGATCATAAAGTCCCAATAATCACCCCAGGGGCACAATGAAAGCATCTCATGAGGATCATTTTCAGGAATTCCCTTGTATGAGATTACAACATGTATTAATGAATAATATCTTCAGACACACTTCTTTGCCTACACCTCATTGGTCATTATTTTGATGGCACAAGTCCCAGACCAGGCTCAAATTGAGTCTTATGGATACAGAATATTGCTGAGGCTTGTATGTGCTTCATGCTAAGCAAATTAACATCTTTATATTATTATTATTGTATTAGCCATAATTTAAGCACATTAATTTGAAAATGACTGACTAAAAATAAAAATGACTAAAATATCTGAGATTCCATTTATCCACTTAATAGCATCTTACACAACACATGTAGCCATCAACAACATGCTTCAGCTAATGATACTCTAGAAACTCCATTCCCTGTAATCTGAATCCACCATATCATTAGTTTCTTGTGTCTATACCCCCTTTTTTCTATCTCTGGTGTGACAGCACACTAATCTTACAAGCCGATGGGAACCATCTTGGTGCAAATTAGTTCTTTGGTTTCATCTGTTTCCTCTCTACCTTGTTCTTCTTTCCATTCTACTCTTGCTCTGGAAAACAGGCGACACATTTATATTAGTTGTTTTGTCCACCCAACAGTACAAAACCCAAATATATCCAATTAACAATGATTTAAAGGTCCCATATTGTACATAATGAGATTTTCATGTCTTTTTCGATTATAAAGGAGGTGTAGGTTCTGTACTAATACTGTGAACCTATCTAAGCGCTCAGTCCAGAGAAATGCACACAGCCCATATTCAAAAACTGAGCCTTAAAACGAGCCCTCAGGACTTCTGTAACTTTGTGATGTCACAACAAAGCAGTCACGGCTCTCAGCCATGCCCCAAGCCCACCCCACCCGCAATCACCTCAGAGCCTCTCTTCTTATTGGCTCAAAGACCTGTTGTTACTAGAGCCCCAGAGAGAAGCCTGAGAGACAAGATGTAAAACTACATTGAGATGGTTTTTGGTATTTGAAAACCACAAATATATCTTCTTATAGATAAACACCTCAAATAAAACACTGGAAAAGTGTAAAATATGGGATCTATAAAACATAGCAAAGGAAGCAAATTCTCAATTTGATGAACTGGAATCAGTTTAAACAATTAATCATCAGCATTGTTCCTAATTAACTGTCTGCCAAATTGAATAATTATTTCAGCACAAACTTAGTATTGGTGGCAGGTACTCAAAAACAAACATCATGTTTTAATGTTGAATGTTATTTGTAGGCTACTGTGTGTATAAGCCAATGAAAACATTGAAGAAAATAGCTCCGTAGCAAATATAGTCTACAAAATACAACTGTAAAATGGACAAAGCTATACTTTCAGCAGTTTAGAATTTTTTCTCCTACTTCTCAGACTGGTTAACTGTGAGCACAGCTTGTTGTGACAGACAATACAGAGAAAAATCAATAGCAGAAGATAAATAGCACAGTTGTCATCTGTGAAGAAGTGCTCCTTCGTGAGCCTACCATCAGTCCGTCTACTGGCACAGACCACACAGATCAGTCAGCAGCGGGACTGCCAGAGAGAAACTGCGAGATGTTTTAACCCTTCTCAGAATCCAGACTAACAGATAGATTGGTATCTATGGAGAACATTTCTGAGCCACGACAGACACTCAGGCAGTCAGCAGTATATTGGAAGAAGTTGGTTACTCAGTCAGTTTATGTGACTGAAGGAGAGACCAAATGATTAGAGATAAATGAGAATGAGCGTCCAGTATTTGTTGCATCAGGCAAACAGACTGGTTTTGTCATAGAGGGTCAGACAGTTTCTGAAACAAACAATCCAGCCATGTCATTACTGCATCCATACAGGAACTACCACCTCTTTTTTTTTTTAATTTGGCTCTGGCTTTTAAACCTTTTGAGTGCAGGATGACTTTTGGCTTCATAAACCCATCGAGCAAGCTGCCCAAACAATGACCCTGTCTGCAACATGACAAGGTAAAAATGAGAACAGTTTAATATATGCCATGGAGTTCCAGTTGGCTGACTCAGCATGAAAACTCAAGGGCAAGCTTGGAGACCATCTGTTCAGCTGGAGCCTCTTTGACACTGCTCGTCGTTACCTCTGACCAGAATGTGTAATAGGACTATTCTGGTCAGAGACGATGCCTGGCCCTCACTACCTTGGCCTACTTTCTTTCTCAGACAGTCTTCTAATCCTCTTCTCATTCTCTATCTGCTTCTTCCTCCTCTGCTTAAAGAGCAAAACCAAACTGATAACAAGACTTAAAACATCTTTTCTGATTAAAGAAAAATGTGTTTCCAGTCTTTGCCTCTCTTTAAAATAAAAAAGAATTGTAACATCATACAAATAGTTAAAGGAGACAAATCTGTGTTATTCCTATACCTCAGAGCAAAAAATGTGCATGTTGGAGCCGAGACTGATCTGTCCTGGGGAAAGACTTTTTTAGGAAACCACATTCATGCATCATTATCACACTTTAGCAATAATCTTTAAACCTTTCATGATTAGTTTTACTTATATTTTGATGCCATCTGTAGTTGTGCATCTGAGCCTTCAGATCCCTCCACACAACTTTGTCCCTTCTCACTGTGTTGTGTTGAATCAATGTGTTTGGAAAGCTTCCTATATTTGGAGTGCCACACCAGACAGGCAGCAGTTATACTCAGAAGTGACACTCTAGATCAGGGGTCCCCAAACTACGGCCCACGGGCCACATCCGGCCCGCCAAAGCAATTGGAGTGGCCCACTTACCGATCCCAGACAATCCCTCTAAACATCAACCAATTTTTATTAAATTGCATTTTCCTATCATAACATCATAACATATCCGTACTTAAAGGTTGGCATTCTAATTAAAATTGACCATAGTTATGAGCTATTTATAGTTAATAGTGGCTCATCTTCACCTCCTCACACAATGGTATATTCTGACGTGACTTTGATCGTGACCGAGCCAGCGTCAAGCTTCAAAGTTCTGAGGTGGGAATCTGACATGAAGGTGGTTGTGTCCTGCATAAACTTCATCAGAGCAAACGGACTTAAACACAGGCAGTTCCAAGCCTTTCTCTCCGAGCTAGAATCAGCCCACGGAGACGTGCTTTACCACACTGAAGTCCGCTGGTTAAGCCGGGGCAGAGTTTTGAAGCGTTTTTACGACCTGCTACCCGAAACCAATGCCTTTCTCCTGACAAAGGGAAAAACTGTCCCAGAGCTGATCAAACACAGAATTGGAAACGGGACCTCGCCTTTATTACGAGATGTGTCCAGAAATTTTTAAAAACGGCCCTCAACTTGCACTCCAAGGCAAGGGAAAACTAATCTGACCATGTTATTCCCAACATCAAAAGTATTTGGAGCTTAAACTAAGCGCTGCTTATTGGGACAGGTGCAAAAACATCAGACTTCACCCACTCCCTGCTACTCCGAAGCCTCTCAGCTGAGAAACCGGCGGTCCCGTTCCCAACCGAGAAGTGCAAGGACGCAACCCCTTTGGAAAAAAACCAACTTTGAAAAAAGGGGGCCGGGGAAAAAGTTACGGTGTGCGGATTCCGTGAGCTTACATGTCACGGTAAAGAAATCTGCACATTCCAGAACCCCCTTTTTGCTGCGACATTAACGACAACCCTGCCTCTCTTGCAATTTGAGCTGGCTGACGTTGCCAGAGCTGTGGGATGTGCTGAAAGACGTATTCAGCCCCAAACAGTCCCTGATCAAGTACTTATGCTTGCCCTTTCCAAATGAGAACCTACCCCAACATAAGAAAGCAACACAACAAAGATGGTCCAAAGTTTTTGGGAGCACATATATCTGTGAGGCAAACTTTTTTCACTACATGAAGCTGATAAAATTCCGACAAGAATCAAGTCTCACAGATCAACACCTGCATCAGTCTCTGAGACTGGCTGTAACTGGAATGGAAACCTGACATCGATCTCCCTCACGCAGTCAGAAGCAGCCACAGCTCACACTGCATATGGTAAGCCTACTGATTTCAATAGCAAGTAGATATTAAAAAAATTAGTCATTATAGTTATACGAAAGGAAAGGTTGATGTGGCCCACCACTGAAAAAAGTTTGGGGAACCGCATGGTGTGGCATCCCTACAGCATATGAGAGATGACCAATGGCGGCCCTTCGGAAGGGAGCGACTCAGAAAGGCTGGGGCTGACATAGCATGTTACTCCAACGTGACGACCGAGTCCGTAGAACCAACACGTTTGGCCTTGGAACAAACTTTTCCGTTGTGACATTCACGACTAATCTTAATGGTGTGACACCCCTCAGCATAGAGAGATGACCCATGGCGACCATTGGCGGCACCACCGGGCCCCCGCCCCCGCGCGCACAGGCATTGCGCCCAGCAAGCGGAGCTAGCCGCTCCGGCGGCCTGCCGGCGCCCCCCCTCCACCCGGCATTTGCGCCGCAGCAAGCAGAGCTAGCTGCCGACGGGCCCGCGGCGCCCCCACTCGGCACAGCCATTGCGCCAGCAAGCAGAGCTAGCCGCCGCGGCAGCCCGCCGGCGCCCCCACTGAAAAAAGTTTTGGGGACCGCTGGTTGTGGGACCTCAGCATATGAGAGATGAACCCATGGCGGCCCTTTCGGCAAGGAAGAGCGACTCAGCAAGGCTGGCGCTGACATAATGTTACTCCAGCGTGACGAGGCCGCAAGTCCAATAGACACCAATTTGTGGACTTTTGACAAAATTTTTTTTGCCGCAACAAGCCGGGCCTCGGATACGTTTAACGACGGCATCCCTTCCGAAGGGAGGACTTAGAAGCCTGGGGCTGACATATGTTACTCAGCGTGACGAGCGAGTCCGTAGACACCAAATTTGTGGACGTTCGGTGAAATTTTTGTTGGAAATTATTAAAACACAGAATTTAA